ACTACGGACCTAAGCTGCAAGACACGCCGGCAAGATGCTTTCCTGTGGCTGTAGCATATGCCTGCAATTCCTCTATCCCACGCATCCAGCACTGCAAGGCTGAGACCCTCTGACTGGGTATGCAGAGGTTGGGCAGATGATGCATAATGCCTCGTAACTTAGATGAGCTGGAACAGGTGCGGAAACTATACCTTCGGTGCTTATTCATCAGTCGTCTGTGTCTGCATCTCCGCGGTGTCACACAGGGGACTCGTGAGAAACTCTGCCATGTGGTGCCAGCTCGCAGACTGGTTCTGAAAGGCTGAGGCATAATGCATAGGAGCAGTGGTAAGTGCACACGCATTGAACTTTGCCCAAAATTGTGCACACATGATGTCAAAAACTTGCAGGAGATGGGTGGCCATGGGAAGGCCTGTTAAGCATCAGGTCCGGGCGTGACAGCCTTATTAAAAAGTAGGCCTTGATCCTCCACATTGCCTTGAAATGTAATTCCGTGTAGAGTAGGCCACAAGAATGCCCCAGTTAGGACCGGGATAACACACACCGGTCCAAAGGGGAGAGGAAACGTGGCTCAAAACACGTGGTCTTCAGACCAGGGCAGAGGATCCCCCGTGAGGAGTATGGCTGCAGGCCCATAAAAAGCCTTTCATCAGCCATACCCACCGGAGTCAAGCAGAAGAGGGTCAGGCACTCGACAGAGCTTTCCTCAGATAAATAATCAGACTTTTTGTCAAAGCAGATAATTACTGTTCAGCATTAGGCATATTAAGAGGAACTCTTGCCACATGCGACTCCTGATCAGCAATCAGGCTTCGCCCCCTAACTAGGATATTTGTAAAGTGTATTCATTAACTAGTTGTTTTATTTATTTTATTCTAAATGTATAAATTGTAACCAATTTAATTTTTAACTGCAGTGAAGTGATTTCTGTCTTTACATAAACTGATGCTTGTTTCATGGAATACCTAAATTCAGTGTTTAGTGTATATATGTGAAATAGTATTTTGATTATATACATTTTTCACAGGTGTCTGCTGTGCAAGCCTTGGAACAAATGCAAAAAAGGTAAAATATATCACTCGCTAGTATCGTGGACTGCAGTCTTTTATTAATTGGTTTTTCATGCCGTAGGTTAGCCCTACACATTGCTTTGCAATTCATTGGGAATTAGTCACAGGGTTCATATGGAAATACTGCATTTCAGTGTTGGTGTCTCACATGCTGAGGTCAAACCTATTAAAAGAACTCTGATGGAAACCTTTGTATTTTTTATTACCTTAGTATATATATATATATACTGCAATGAAAACGTACATGCATTGAACTATGTACTTTCTTTTATTACATTGGAGGTATGTCTAAAAACTGCTTGCAAAAGCTGCAGATCTCTTGTTTGCAGCCATTGCAAGCCCTCACCCTTTTTTCCCCAGCCCATACTTTGAGTCTGTGCTGGGGAATTGACCAGTCTATGGCTTCTCATTGAGATGCCTGTGATTTTTGCACCACAAGTGTGTACATTCTTGTGGCTTTCAGCCCAAGTTCTCCAGGCTGAAATCCAGGGAGTCCGCTGACAGGGCTAATGGAAGTGGGAAGAAAACCTTCCCGGCTGTCTGACACGCAGGGAGGTGCGTGTGCAAATTGTTATAAAAGTGCTGCTTTCAAATAGAAATCCACACTTGTATAAACTGCAATTCTGGGGACATGATCATTATACATCAAACTTTTTACCAAGCTCAATTGCTTTATCCTGTGCAGTGTCCCTTTAATGTTCAAAGTTTGGATTAATTCACAAATATTAAAAGTTGAAAAGAAAAGTCAAAACACGCATATCATTTTATGGAGCTCATTCACTTCCTAAAAAAGGTTTCTTCTCCGATGTGGCGTTTACAGTGGGAAAACATTAAATTGTTGGCTCAAAGTGAGTACCACACGTTTGCAGTGCGTGACCTCAATAAATACCTCCGCTAGCTTCTCTTGTTTCTACACTTTTCTAAGATGGTGGGTTCCCAAGTAGAGCCTCGGATACTTTATCCAATACAGAGATAAATCAAGCATTTTATCCAATACAGAACTGGAGTACTTCTAGGGGATGTGATGGGCTATTTTGGCGCATGTGTCCAAGTTGTTATAGGATTATTTTGCTTACGGGAATTTTTCAAAGTACCTCAAATTCATATTTCACACAAGAAACAAGGTTGCTCAGTACTTTCTGCCACACATTGTATGCCCCCCCCCTTCCTTGGCATCGTACTTGTTCTCATATTACAACTTTACCAAAATTTAATTTAATTTAATTCACTTGAAGAAGCAAAAGGCTGTCCAACATCCTCTGTCAGATTCTACTTGTCACATCATCAAAATTTAAGTAGAGTATCTCAAACAGTTGGCACGAAAGGGACTACAAGATAAATTTCTACAAGAAGTATCACATTTTCTTTTTACCCTCAAAAAGTTTGCCTTACGTTTTTAAGCAAAAACTTTTTTTTTCCCAACAAAAAATGCTATTTATTTTATTTTGTTATATAACTCAAAATAAGGAAAATAACGTGCATATCCTGTATTCCTGTACACGTCTTTCCACCTAGTTGAATGTTGTTGTACGGACAGTGGTTCATTTTGCATATTGGGAAGCTTTTTGCATTAAGTCTCCGAAGACAGGTTTTCAAGTTAGTATGAATAGAGTGGAGCGCAAAAACATATACTGAGTCCGATTTCTTGATATAGGTATCCGTCGGCATAAAAACCTAAAGAAAGAAAAACAAGATCGTGTGATATTGTTACACACAGGTCATAGAATGCCAAAATGCAAGTAGTAATGTTTATAACATTCAAAGATGAAGGATAAGATATATACAATTTATTGCACACATATTGAAATATGGAGTAAAATGGAGTCTGACAGCTCCTTAATAGAGATCGGTGGTGAGTATATGCGGTATAGAACCCCGCCACTCACTTGCGACTCTACCTCTTTCAGTTTGGATAAGTTGTTTAGTGTTTTTAATCACATTGTGTGATGTTTGCATGTTCTTAAACACATCATCAAACATTTTAAAATGGATTGTTTGGAACTGACAAGTGACGGTTGTTATATTTGATTAATATTGTTTCAGTATCGGTGGAAAAGATGAGAAAATCAGAACGCTTGAAGAACAACTTCAGGGGGAACTTGCAAAGGTTTCCAGCAACATAGAACATTATACGGTAATGGGGAGGGTTGATTTAAATGTATGGGACCATCAGAGTATTTTATAAAATATTTACTGCTCTCAAAAGGACCCAGCTTCTCTCCCAAAAATGTAACTAAAGCATTACTCCCCATGTTTTCTTCATGTGTGAAGTCTGTCTGGCCCAAAGGAAGATGGAACATAAATCATTGGGCAAATTAACTTTTAATCACCCTGTTATAAAAGCTTTTAGTAGTTGTGGAATTTATCATTTTCTCATGTTTATTTGGGAATGATTTCACGCACCGTGTATACACTAGCAAACTGTTATTCAGACCATCAGCATAGTTAGGTGAGACACACTCTCTATTCATAGGAAGGTCATACACGTACGAATCTTCTCGTGATCGTCTCTGGAAATGGTTCCTCTTGCTATTAATTTGCCGTAATGTGTTTGTGAGTGGTTTCAAGCTTTCTGCTCCCCGTTAATCTTAGCAAAGTTTAAACACCGCTGATTTCTGAAATTGTTTATAAAACAACACTTACCTTTTCATGCCGTATGTGACATTATTTCATTTATGAAACTTCTGTATTCTGAAGATATTTTCTGTATACTGTGCAGGCTAACAAAGAAGTGCTCGGAAAGATGGAGGTTTGGTAAGATTATTATTTTTCCTATTAATATATATTGTAAACGCCGGCAGATTTCCTGCTGTCAAATCATGTAATTATTGATTATAATAATATCGTTGGCTGGGAATGGTGCATTTCCGATCAGATCACATAGATTAATGGTGGAGTTTTTAAAGCACTGTTTTATAGGATAAATGATCTGTAAGGAAATATATTGTACATAAACTGTGTGTCTTGGGGAAACTGATACATCTACATATTGCTGCCATAAAGCAACATTTAGCATTTTTATTTGATCGGTTTAGTTAAATTTCAAGTCTCAAAGGTAAAATAGATCTGTGTAATTCAGTTAATGTTTTAAAATCATGTTTTTCAGCATGCAAGAAAAGGATGACAAGATCAAAACTGTGGAGGAGCTTTTAGAGACCGGACTCATCGAGATGGCGAATAAGGAGGAAGAATTGAGGGTAAATCCTAAATTGCGTATAATTTCATTTTTTTACACCTCCCAGTGGAAGAGATTGGAGTTAAGTTTTGTGATCTAGAAACTGAAAATCTCTCTCTTCGTTTTAACGAATGTTTACTCATGGGTAAAATCACATTTGTTTTAATAAATCCATAAATGATTGGCATTGTTTGTTTATTTCACGCCACGTAGTAATAAAGTTTTCTCTTTTTGAAGACGCTAAGAACTGAAAATGCAACTTTAAGAAAGGACGTGCAAAATCTTAAAGCTCAGCAGGCAAATCAGGTAAATGCAAATGTCTGTATTGGGCTGGATTTTAAATACTCCACAACAGTGGGGGGAATAAATGGGGATGGAATGTAAATCCTGTCACGGAGAAATGCCTCAACGCGCTTCTAATAACTACCAGTAATTAATTCTTCCATTTGGTTTTATTGCTCAGATATCGCTCAGCTCTGTTGTGGAAGATCTTAAAAATGAGTAAGTATATTTCCGCGTTTCCAGTCTTTACGTTTTTGACATGTTAGATTGTATCTTGTTGACTGGTCATTCATAACAGCCTATATACTATGGAACTTGCACCTAAACGATTTAAATTCTCACTGGCAAGAACAGCTGTCTGTAAAGATATCTTATACATGGAATATTAGGATGCACACTCCTATAGCTGGTCTGTGGCTAGTGATGTCACGAACGGTTTGCCACGGACTCATCATTGAGTAAACGTTGACCCTGTACTTCAGTCAGCAGACCCTCCCTCCCAGACCCTCCCACCTCCTGGACAGCATCCATTGTGAAGCTGCATTCTTAGTAAGCTGTCCAGGAGGTGGGAGGGTCTGGGAGGGAGGGTCTGCTGCTGATTGGCTGGAATGTGTCTGCTGACAGTGAGGTACAGGGTCAAAGTTTGCTCAATGATGAGTCCATGGCGAACCGTTCGGGACATCACTATCTATGACTGCTTGCAAAAGGCAGCCAGGGAGGTGCGAAACTCTGGGTTTTTTTTATGACTCGTGTTCTGTCCTGTTTGGCTTATGGAATTTATGCTAATTCCCCTGTTATATGTGCATAGCCTTTTTGTGCTTTGTCCATTTGTTCTGTTTATTTTGAATATCATTGTGTGTCTTCATCTATTTATTTTGAATAAAGGATTTATTATATGTAGCTATTCAAGTGTGCATCCTGATCTTTTGTATGTATATGTTTATTTTCAGCATTTAAGGGAGTGGCTAGTGAGATTTACACCCGATTGTAGAGTGGTGGTAATACGATTTATCCTCCATGCGTTATTGTTGATTTATAGAATATAAGACATAATTATCTGCTACGTGTGGAATATTAGTCCTGGGAATATTTTTCAAGCAAAGAGTTAATAAATTTTAAGTTACCAACTGAAGAATTCAATTGTAACATTACTTCACTCTACCTAAAATGTAACCGAACGATTAATACTCTTCTGGATCTCGGCTGTTTCATGTAATGCACTGGGTGTTATTTTTAAAGAATCTTATTTTACTGTAGGATCCACGAGAAGGAGGGGAAAATAAAATCCGTGGAAAATCTTCTTCAGGCTGAGCATCTCCGAGCAGACAGCCAGGAGAAGACGGTGCAGGTACTTGGTGACATCTTTGATAATTCGGTCTTTATAACTTTAATAGCTTTTATTCATTGAAAAAAGGAAGCATTGAAGCTTCCCAGCAAGCGAATACAAGCTCTCCGAATTCACTGTATCTGTATCTTCAAATGCTTTTATCTACATAGGGGAACTTCACATGCGGCTCTTACCAATGTTACATTTTACCAGAAACCAAAATAAATAATCCAGAGCTAATAGCCAGTTAACACGCTGTTATTCTTCTACATCCGCAATGTAATCACCAGTATGAATGTAATAAAAATCACCCATAATGCTTAACATAAATGGTGTCAACATATATTTTCAAGGAATCCTAAAACGTGTATTTTAGCAATTAGTTGTTCCTTTATTGGTTTAGATTGAGGGTCTTCCCCTGTAAATCTAAAAAGCTATAAATTGTAAGCAGGCTGCCGCCATACCTTCTGTGAGGTCATTGTTACCGACTGGCCCAATCCAGTGATTTTCATAGAGATTCTTGAGGACTTACGGGGCTTGCATTGCAACCCCACGATGTACCTATTGGAAGTTTCTAGTAGAGGCATTGAATCGAGTGTTTCTCTATGAGAAATATTCGCTTCATTCAGTGTGTGATAATGCCAAGTGTAGAGGCCTTTTTATTTATTTTTTTTTAGAGGTTTTCAATGAGGAAGTGCCTCTAGTGGCTGATTCTCTGACAAATATAAACATTGGTGATTCTTAAAAATTGCAAGATGTTACACGTTGATAGAGAAAATGGGCGACCTCGATGCACCGAAATCAATACATTAGCATGTGGTTTTAGTGCTTAGCCAACTGTTAACCAACAGATGGGTAATATTAAATGTTCTTGGTGTTTGACCATGGTGTGACTGTTAACCAACAGATGGGTAATATTAAATGTTCTTGGTGTTTGACCATGATGTGACTGTTAACCAACAGATGGGTAATATTAAATGTTCTTAGTGTTTGACCATGATGTGACTGTTAACCAACAGATAGGTAATATTAAATGTTCTTGGTGTTTGACCATGAAGTGACTGTTAACCAACAGATAGGTAATATTAAATGTTCTTGGTGTTTGACCATGAAGTGACTGTTAACCAACAGATGGGTAATATTAAATGTTCTTGGTGTTTGACCATGAAGTGACTGTTAACCAACAGATGGGTAATATTAAATGTTCTTGGTGTTTGACCATGATGTGACTGTTAACCAACAGATGGGTAATATTAAATGTTCTTGGTGTTTGACCATGATGTGACTGTTAACCAACAGATGGGTAATATTAAATGTTCTTAGTGTTTGACCATGATGTGACTGTTAACCAACAGATGGGTAATATTAAATGTTCTTGGTGTTTGACCATGATGTGACTGTTAACCAACAGATGGGTAATATTAAATGTTCTTGGTGTTTGACCATGGTGTGACTGTTAACCAACAGATGAGTTATATTAAATGTTCTTGGTGTTTGACCATGATGTGACTGTTAACCAACAGATGGGTAATATTAAATGTTCTTAGTGTTTGACCATGATGTGACTGTTAACCAACAGATAGGTAATATTAAATGTTCTTGGTGTTTGACCATGAAGTGACTGTTAACCAACAGATAGGTAATATTAAATGTTCTTGGTGTTTGACCATGGTGTGACTGTTAACCAACAGATGGGTAATATTAAATGTTCTTAGTGTTTGACCATGATGTGACTGTTAACCAACAGATGGGTAATATTAAATGTTCTTGGTGTTTGACCATGAAGTGACTGTTAACCAACAGATGGGTAATATTAAATGTTCTTGGTGTTTGACCATGAAGTGACTGTTAACCAACAGATGGGTAATATTAAATGTTCTTGGTGTTTGACCATGATGTGACTGTTAACCAACAGATGGGTAATATTAAATGTTCTTAGTGTTTGACCATGATGTGACTGTTAACCAACAGATGGGTAATATTAAATGTTCTTGGTGTTTGACCATGAAGTGACTGTTAACCAACAGATGGGTAATATTAAATGTTCTTGGTGTTTGACCATGATGTGACTGTTAACCAACAGATAGGTAATATTAAATGTTCTTGGTGTTTTGACCATGATGTGACTGTTAACCAACAGATAGGTAATATTAAATGTTCTTGGTGTTTTGACCATGATGTGACTGTTAACCAACAGGTAATATTAAATGTTCTTGGTGTTTGACCATGGTGTGACTGTTAACCAACAGATAGGTAATATTAAATGTTCTTGGTGTTTGACCATGATGTGACTGTTAACCAACAGATGGGTAATATTAAATGTTCTTAGTGTTTGACCATGATGTGACTGTTAACCAACAGATAGGTAATATTAAATGTTCTTGGTGTTTGACCATGAAGTGACTGTTAACCAACAGATAGGTAATATTAAATGTTCTTGGTGTTTGACCATGAAGTGACTGTTAACCAACAGATGGGTAATATTAAATGTTCTTGGTGTTTGACCATGAAGTGACTGTTAACCAACAGATGGGTAATATTAAATGTTCTTGGTGTTTGACCATGGTGTGACTGTTAACCAACAGATAGGTAATATTAAATGTTCTTGGTGATTGACCATGGTGTGACTGTTAACCAACAGATGGGTAATATTAAATGTTCTTGGTGTTTGACCATGAAGTGACTGTTAACCAACAGATGGGTAATATTAAATGTTCTTGGTGTTTGACCATGATGTGACTGTTAACCAACAGATGGGTAATATTAAATGTTCTTGGTGTTTGACCATGATGTGACTGTTAACCAACAGATGGGTAATATTAAATGTTCTTAGTGTTTGACCATGATGTGACTGTTAACCAACAGATGGGTAATATTAAATGTTCTTGGTGTTTGACCATGAAGTGACTGTTAACCAACAGATGGGTAATATTAAATGTTCTTGGTGTTTGACCATGATGTGACTGTTAACCAACAGATAGGTAATATTAAATGTTCTTGGTGTTTTGACCATGATGTGACTGTTAACCAACAGATAGGTAATATTAAATGTTCTTGGTGTTTTGACCATGATGTGACTGTTAACCAACAGATAGGTAATATTAAATGTTCTTGGTGTTTGACCATGGTGTGACTGTTAACCAACAGATAGGTAATATTAAATGTTCTTGGTGTTTTGACCATGGTGTGACTGTTAACCAACAGATAGGTAATATTAAATGTTCTTGGTGTTTGACCATGAAGTGACTGTTAACCAACAGATAGGTAATATTAAATGTTCTTGGTGTTTGACCATGGTGTGACTGTTAACCAACAGATAGGTAATATTAAATGTTCTTGGTGTTTTGACCATGGTGTGACTGTTAACCAACAGATAGGTAATATTAAATGTTCTTGGTGTTTGACCATGAAGTGACTGTTAACCAACAGATAGGTAATATTAAATGTTCTTGGTGTTTGACTATGGTGTGACTGTTAACCAACAGATGGGTAATATTAAATGTTCTTAGTGTTTGACCATGATGTGACTGTTAACCAACAGATGGGTAATATTAAATGTTCTTGGTGTTTGACCATGATGTGACTGTTAACCAACAGATGGGTAATATTAAATGTTCTTGGTGTTTGACCATGAAGTGACTGTTAACCAACAGATGGGTAATATTAAATGTTCTTGGTGTTTGACCATGATGTGACTGTTAACCAACAGATGGGTAATATTAAATGTTCTTGGTGTTTGACCATGGTGTGACTGTTAACCAACAGATGGGTAATATTAAATGTTCTTGGTGTTTGACCATTATGTGACTGTTAACCAACAGATGGGTAATATTAAATGTTCTTGGTGTTTGACCATGGTGTGACTGTTAACCAACAGATAGGTAATATTAAATGTTCTTGGTGTTTGACCATGGTGTGACTGTTAACCAACAGATGGGTAATATTAAATGTTCTTAGTGTTTGACCATGATGTGACTGTTAACCAACAGATAGGTAATATTAAATGTTCTTGGTGTTTGACCATGGTGTGACTGTTAACCAACAGATAGGTAATATTAAATGTTCTTGGTGTTTTGACCATGGTGTGACTGTTAACCAACAGATAGGTAATATTAAATGTTCTTGGTGTTTGACCATGAAGTGACTGTTAACCAACAGATAGGTAATATTAAATGTTCTTGGTGTTTGACCATGGTGTGACTGTTAACCAACAGATGGGTAATATTAAATGTTCTTAGTGTTTGACCATGATGTGACTGTTAACCAACAGATGGGTA